TAGTTTATTCAGAACTTTCTTCATTTTTTTTTCCCTTTGCACCACGCTGCTGACAATAAGGTGTGCTGTGCTCTCGAGTAGTCTTTTTGCCTTTTGACCACTCTTGACAGACATTAGAAATAAAGACACAGCCAGAGATCAGCGTGCAATATACCATGCAAACCAACAGTAGGAACTAACTCTCTTTCAAGATCAACATGAAGTGCATTCTCTGATATATCTTTGCCAAGGATGCACCATGTAAGTCGGTACAATTGTCAATACAAGCCAGTGCATATTTGTATCAGAGATAGTAGGAACTGCAGATGCTGGAGAATCTGAGATAACAAGGTGTAGAGCTGGATGCATTTGAATTCAGTAGAAGCCCAATTACATCAATTATAACCTGATCCAATGGATGCTCCACCTTTAGGCTAAGACTGGTAATGCTATTATAATAGTCGTTCGAATTCAAGTGTTTCTTCCTTGATCAGCTGTGGAGATATGGCAGTGAAGGGCTCATCAGCATGCGCTTTTGACTCTAAGTTAGCTAACGTATGTACCTAGGTATTAGAGGTTGCAGGAGGCAGCCTTGATGGTACATCCTCTGAGGCATCCATACTCTCTTCCTCAGCAGAGGAGGAGCGGTTGTCTTGTGGCAGCACCCTTTTGACAGCAGACCAGGGTAATAATGCTCCTCGCACATGTAGGAGAGAATGTGTCATTAATAATCGGGAGGTTTGGGTATATTAAGAATACATTCACAGTGTGGGCAATGAGAGAGTAATGCTTCTTCCATGATTGAAGAGACACAGATCTTTCTGCAGCTCCAAAGGACTAATCCTAGCCCTTGTCATCAAGAGCCAAAATCTTCTCTTGGTAAGGAATGAGCAACGAATTTCAGGGCACCTTCTCCCCACGTCCTGTCTCCTTCAACCCTATTGCGGACCATTGTCCCATGGAATGAGACAAAAGGATGGACTGACTGAGATAAAGGTGAGTGGCAAGACTTTAAGTGCTTGTGCATGACAGGGGGGGAAGTGTCCCATGTGAGGCAGTAAGCTGTGCAGAAGCCAGACAAGGATGGGGGAACGGGAGTGGGGGTTGTGGTTGGGGTGGGGGGGGGGGTGGGGTGGATTCGTGGGACGGTGACAGATAGAGAGAGAAAGAGAGAGAGAAAGAGAGACAGAAGATGTCGTGTGACCCTTGGTGGATGCTGTTGCAGAGATAGAGTGAGTGTGAAGCAACTCTCCCTGTCCACTGAAACCTCCAGATTCCCATCTGAATGGCTGGGCACTATTTTCCCATTGCCTTCACATTGAGTACAAATGTCATGAACCATGCAGGGCAGCTCTGGGCTGCCAGCACTTGATGATTTCAGAACAGCCTTTTAAAAATAATGCTGGCGCCAAGGATCACAGAATTTAGCAAATCGTTCCGCCTATAGCGAGTGGGAGAATCAGGCTAGCGTCAGATGAGTGGGCTGTTATATCGTTCATGAAAGGTTAGGACAATTGGGCAAGAAAACCTGCTACACTTTGTGGACAGAATCCCTCCATGTGCACTGTGGCTCAGTGGTTAGCACTGCTGCTTTACAGCACCAGGAACCTGGGTTCAATTCCACTCTCAGGTGACTGTCTGTGTGGAGTTTGCACATTCTCCCTGTGTCTGTGTGTGTTTCCTCCCACAGTCCAAAGATATGCAGGCTAGTTGGATTGGCCATGCTAAATTGCCCATAGTGTTCAGGGATGCCTAGGTTAGCGGGGGTTAAAGGGGGATGGGTCTGTGTGGGATGCTCTGAGGGTTGGAGTGGACTTGTTAGGCTGAAGGGCCTGTTTCCACACTGTAGGGATTCTATGATAAAATGTTAATGTATATTTATGAACATGATATTGTATTTGCATTAAAGTGTCACCCATGACAGCCATTTGTCCTCAGTTGGCCTTCTTTTTCCTTTCCTTCTCACTCTGTCTAGGTTCAGTCCCAGTGTCTGGTATCTGGAATGGCAGAGCCTGTTGGCCTTAGAGTTTCGAGGCTAGAGGTGTCAGGGAGCTTTCATTTATCTTATATTTAATCATCCCAATGACCAAACTATCTTAAAAACCTAAACAAAAGCTTTCCAAAACATATGAATCATGAAAGTACATGCTTGTAATAATATTCAGGGAGGCAACTGGATTTGATAATCCAATGTTGTGGGAGGTGAGGAAGTTGCAGGTTCAGTGCCTCTGGATCTCCAACATGACCAACAAATCATAGATCATCATAGAATGATCTATGATTTGTTGGTCATGTTACAGATCCAAAGGCACTGAACCTGCAACTCCGTCACCACCACTGCTCCCCCACAAAATGGAGCAGATTTTAAAGAGAGAGGGAAGAGGATGAGGAAAAAGACCTTGCATGGGAGGGTCTAACCATCATTGTTCTCTAATGTGAACTTCTCTTAGCTCCAGCCAAGCCAGGAGCAATTCCTGAGGTAGCCCAGGTTCATTCAGGAGGTGGCCACAAATTTCATAGAATCAAAGAACGCTGCTTCTCCCAAATGGTTTCCCCATGTGACCCTTCCAAGGCTTGAACATTTTCGCAGCCACTGGGTGAGAACTGAGAGTATTGGACAAAGCTGTTATAACTCAGTCAGAGCTCCATGGCAATACTTAATGCTTTCGAACTCACAACACAAAAAGTTCAGATCGTGACCCAACTTGGGATCCAACTTTGGGAAACCCCGTCATTAAATGATTACAGCTCAGAAGAGGCCATTTGGCTTGTTATTTTCATCTTCAAGGGTGTGGACGCTTTATTTTATGTTTTTTCTCATTCACCTCTGTTCCTTCTACTTCTGACTACTCACTTACAATCTTCTTCCTTTGTTCTACGCATCCTTTCCCAGTAAATGGACTTTGCACAAGTTCTGCAATTCAGTCTATCCGTGGGACACTTACTGCTGTTGTGAAATTTTGTGACCATTCACAGGAGTGGTCAACCTTAACAATGGAAGAGTCGTTATGACCCGAAACCCATTAGAATGTGCTCAGCCAGAGCAGAAAGCAAAGACATTTTGTTTGTGTATTCCCCAGTTTTAGCCAGACCCTAAGAACCATGGAGTGATTATATCTTGGAAAGGGGAAGGCTGTACCTAAGGTGACCCGGCCTAATTTCTTTGGGTGCTGTGACCCCTGCCCTCTGACCCCATTGGCTGAAGCTGGAGAACATTCCAGAAGGGCTCAGAAAGTCGGGGAAGGGGGATAAAAAGGGACACCTGATGGCCATTCCCTCAGCGAAGACTCAGCCAGCGAAGACTCTGTGAGAGACCCACATTCGTACCAAGAAGATCCTGAGTGCACCCATCGATGGAGCTCTGTGAATTGAATCCAGCAGCCCAATCATATTCAACAGAGCAGGTGGTATATGTGTTTTTCAGGTGGTCAGCCTAGTTTGGGGAAAAGTTAATCAAATTTGTTGTGTAGGAGTTATTTCTTTAACTTGCAAGTGTTTTAATATAAGTTTGAACTACAGTCCTTTGTTTGTCTCACATAGTAAGAGCACCTGGGTAAACGTGCTTTATGAATAATAAACTGGTCAAAGCATCTGTATAGACTATTTCACAGGCTACTGATTTTTCTCCATCTAATCCAGCATTAACTTTGTTTCTAAATACTTGAGTTGTGTTCACAAATACCTGCTGTCAAAATGTAGTGACTCGTGGTCACTGACATTTAGAATAATCACATTTAAGGACATAATCACTGAAGATGTCAAATGAATTTCTCAGACCTCCCCACGTGCTGCAGAATAATACATTGTTACTTAGATGCATAGAAGGAGGGCAGTGATGCAGAATTCTGGGTTTACGTGTATACAAGAGCATGTCAATATAGTTCTTAAATCTTTCAGATACCACATAACATATCAGTCTATAATTTCTCCTCGCGTCATTGCCACTACAGAAAGATGATTTTCCATCATTTGTCTACACAAAAGTCCTTGTAAAAGTCCTCTCTCAATATAGACTCCACCACCTCCACTTGATCCAATTCTCTCTGCTTCCTTCCACATGTTGGAACTTCTCTGAATTAGCCATGGCTGGGTTGGGGTGAGATGCTCTTCAGTGGGCCACATTGTCTGCAGTGTGGAAGCAGGCTTTCTCTGATTCTCCAGATCTAGATGCTGGACAGTGGGCACACCAGGACCTAGGCATTTGCACACAGCTGACCTGGATGTTCACATACCCAGCCCTGCACACTCAGGCACTTAGAATGGAACATTCACACAGCTAACCGGCTGTGGGGCTGAACCTTAAATCCTTGCTTTCAAAAACTCTGTGAAAGTCACCGTGGGTGTGGCTACGCAGCAATACACAGATGTCTTACATATTGCATCATTTAGTAATGTCAACACTATGTCTGTCCTAACAAAATAATGTGCAGTTAAAGATGGGCATCTGCGAATTTTCTCTCATGTTGCCGGGTCTGTATCTGGGTATGAACTGTCAATCCCTGGAGATTTGTATCAAAACAAGGAAACCCAACTTTTAATTCATACCCTTTATTGTTTTGTACATCACATCACAGAGAATGGCTTTTCGGAATTTGCGGAGAAAAAAACTGAACAATTAATGAAATCTCCAAATATGTGTAAAAATCCTGAATCTCTTGAAGAAATTTAACATCTCAATGACTTTTGCAGTAATAGAAATTTATTGTTGATTTGCAGTTTATGTAACTTTCTGTTTTGATTAGGTCATCATGTGATAAATTTTAAGTGATCCTTTCATTGCTCTGCAGGTTAATAAACCTCCAGTAGTTGGTCTCTAATTATTTTTTAATATATATGTGTGTGTCTTACTGTGAATGTTGGGAAAATGTTACACAAACTGTGCCAGTAGTAAAGATGGCGCCCAGCAATCAAATTGTCATAGGAGTGGAGAATAAAAAATGCCAATAAGAAAGATGGCGGCCACACCGGTTCACTCACCATGGTAACCGGTGTGGTATTTCCGGTTCTACCTTCATTTCCGGTTGGTTTCCATGATCACCGAGGTGCTGGCTCTGAGCCGTTGATTTTTTGCCGGAGAATTGATGGGATTTTACAGGAAATCCATTTCTACCCTTTTTTATTCCGGACGCTGGTGATTCCGGGCACCGTCACATCCAAATGGCTCTGGTTCAGATAAAGGACGGGGAATACACAACGACCATCTATAGACTGGTCAGTTTAACACCAGCGTCTCAGTCTGTAACCCAGTGAGTAGGGGGCAACGGTCAGTCTGTAACCCTGTGAGTAGGGGGCAACGGTCAGTCTGTAACCCTGTGAGTAGGGGGCAACGGTCAGTCTGTAACCCAGTGGGTAGGGATCAATGGTCAGTCTGTAACCCAGTGGGTAGGGGGCAACGGTCAGTCTGTAACCCTGTGAGTAGGGGGCAACGGTCAGTCTGTAACCCAGTGAGTAGGGGGCA